GATAACCACTGTCCAGGAGCAGGTGTAAGCAGGTTAGTGTAATGGAGACCGTGAAGAGGTTGACTGTCATTTACGGAGCCGCACAAAATCTGGGTCATTACCAGTTGACTTGCTTTCACTTACCTTTACAATTTTAGCCATTCATCCATCGTAAGGGGTAAAACAATGATCAACTTCTTTGTTTACTTCGTGACATTGGCCAATCAGCAAGATGCAAGAAGTGACGTAACAAAGCTCCCTTTTCGCGTCCGTTCAGACACTTTTCTCACTCAGACAGATTTTCAAGCGTGGTCCTAAACATTACCTCGTTTTTGAACCCTATTCGTTAGTTTTTAACTTAAATATAAATCAGATAATTCAATGATCACTCTGTCTTCCTAGGAGTTTTAATTTAATTGCAGTAATAAAAAAATAGTGTAGAAATAGCTGTGATACACTAGGCTAAAATTCTTTACCGGTACTTTTAAAAAACAGATTGTTGTATGTGATGAATCATAATGATAATTCGAAACACATACCCCATTTTACAAGCGCCAACTCGCAAAAGCACTCTTAAAATAGCCCCGAAAATTTTGCAATGGTAAAGTCGGTATGTTAGTCGTTGGGTGAAGTATGAAAAAAAATTTTCGGGGGTCAAAGGTTGGGGAAAGGTCCATAGGATTAATACATGCTGGAAGTAAATCTAAATTTTACAGATAAATTATATTGACGCTGGAAAACGCGGATCCCGTTTCTCTCACTGAGCCCTGGAGCACTTTGAAAACCATGTCCTAGACCAGTGGTTCTCAACGGGGCCGGTGGGCCCCCAAGAAGCAGTCCAAGGGGGCCCACGGCACTAGGATGTTAATTGATCAACCGACTTCGATTGCATATTTTCATTTTAAAATAAAATTCTTCGTTCTGGCGTTCACCGCAGTTTCATTTCCTGAATAGGTTAATTGCGATCGCAGGGTGTATTCACTTTTTTGTGCGTGAATTGTTTGATCATAATGGAATTTGAATGAGCTCAATGCTTGCATTGCTCGTATGCAATGAATCATTACGTCCATCTAAACCAGTGGTTCCCAAACTTTTTGTACCATCGCCCCCCTACAGTAGTTTATACAACTTCATCGCCCCCCAGCACTACAAAAAAATGTAAAGCCAGGAACGAATATATTACAGACCAAATAGGAAGACAACTCATAGTTTATAGTGTTTTTTAATGAGATGGATGAGCTTGGTGTTCTTCAGCGAGTTTAATATTATATCTAAAATTACCCCGTTTACTGATGGAAAGGCGATTTCGTTGTTTTGATAGCAATAGTAGCACGGCAGAAAATCCCCTTTTCACCATATATTATAAGAGGTCGGTAATGAAAGAATCCAGAATTGCCCTCTCAAAAACCGCCGTGTACTCTTGCCTTATAACATTTAACTCCTTAAATTCACCCCATTTCACATTAAAATAATGAAAACAAAGTTAATTTTCTTAAACTTATATTAATTATTTTCGTACATCTCGTTCGTCCCTACAGCCTGATGACATGCACCAAACTATAAGATATATAACGGTCTTCGGTAAAATTCATCCCTGATTCCTCATCCTACCACGGCCTTCAGTCCGATCACCAGTCCATAAATTAATCAGTCATTTGTTTTGGATTCGTGCACTCTGAATCTCTGATGTGGAAGAAGTCGTGACCAACTATCGGCTACGGCCCAGGGGTCGGCAAATTTTATGTTGCTCGCGGGCAGTGGCGTGCCTAGAGGGGGCGGAAGGGGCAACCGCCCCGGGCAGCACGTTGTAGGGGGCAGCAAAACCATGCTGTAGAGTAGGCGTTGTTATACATGTTTTCCCCGATGTGTATTAAATCAAAAGCTGATATTATGTGTGACTGACTGTGATGATGGAGAGTCAACGATGGATGTTTTTCCGACCATTGACTCTAGAAAAATTCTTCCTATTCTAATTTCACAATTGCAACACTTTTGGAGCTCATTTTAGGGTGGTTTCGCGAGTAAGCGCCTTAAACTAGTTTATATGTTTCAAACAATGATTTTAATCCAAAATATTCAACCCTGTTATTTGAAAGTACCGGTAAATTATTTTAGTCTTTTCTATCACAGCTATTTTTGTACTAATTTATGATTAATACAATTAAAATATATGAGAACACAGTATAATCATTGGGTTCCATTATCTTTGCACCATTTACATTTTCACCCAGGACAATTGCATTTGCATACTTTTGTACCGACGGAGATTTGCATCCGCAGATTTTACCACCCACATACAGACTGCATGTCTGCATCCATGAACATTTGAACCCATGGATATTTGGACCCATGTACATTTGCACCAAAGTACAATTGAACCCGCAAACATTTACACTCATTGATACCAGTCTTTATGCGAACGATCTTTCCCAGAGTTAAAACAGATGACAAATATTCGAGGTTTTTGATGTCAAATTAGCGCCTGTCAAGTTTGTCTTTGATTAGCATCGAAAATAAATTCCTGAAGAGCGAGGGGAAGGAGGCTGTCGTTCAGACATTTGTTACCAGAAAAGTAGCGATTGGACATAGAAATAAGTGACTTGCTTTTTGTTAATGAATGAGTTTGATCTTATACATGTACGTTGGTTGTCTAGTTTAAATATTTATTTAATACAACGAACGTTTCTATTTTACTTGACCTTTAATTCATTTATTCTTATGTATAATGACATCTATAATCTGTTTATCCCCCGAATTATTTGAGGTTAGGTATAAGGGGCAGCATTATCAAAAACTCGCCCCGGACAGCAGAAAAGTTCGTCACGCCCCTGCTCACAGGACAAAATTTAGGATTGCTAGTCTTTTGCGGATCGCATATATTTTTTTAAAGTTAAAAACGGAACAGCGCGCGAAAACTGCAACAATTCGTGAACTCAACTCAGTCGTCCTATTGGAAAATTATTACAATGACATTTAATGTGACACTGTCGTGTTGCTGTATTACGCTTGATACCTTTACGACGACAAGATTGGAACATTTTCTAAATGGGCATCACTAATCCTAGTTCTTCGTAATGTTCATTTTCGAGAATAATTGTTCGCACAAATATGTACTTCCAAACATCGAAGTGAATATTTTCGCATGGTTTGTGAAATTTTAAAGAAGAAGATACGTTCTTACAAAAATTAGGCAGTGAACGAATCTCTCGAATAGAATATGAATTTAATTTCCTTATTGCATTGCATATATTCGAATATTTACTGCGCTATTGAACCCCTCCACTCAGTATCAACTTTTCTGCGTGTTTCCATTTGTCTAATTATAATTGAATTGTAGGCTCCTTAAACCCGTAGTAGTATATATTTACGGTTAAACGAGTAGCTGTTCAGTAGAATTTTTAGGATATAATAAAATTTAGTCTAAACGTGTCTCACGATAAATTCTGTTACGTAAAAAATGTAATTTACTCCTTGCGTAGATTATAGATAAAATTAATTATCAGTCAAAACGGTCGCTTGGATGTTTTCCCGGGCATAGACTTTCTTTTTTAACTCGAGACATTGGCCAATCAGCAAGATACGAAAATAAACGTAACAATGCCCCCTTTCGCATCCGCTCAGACACATTTCTCACTCAGACAGATTTTCAGGCGTGGTCGTGAACATTACTTCATTTTCGCGTTTTTGAATTATATTCGTTAGTTTTAGTTGTTTTTTCTGAAATTCAAATATGAATCAAATGAGTCAATGATCACTTTGTCTTCCTAGGAGTTTCAGTTTAATTACAGTAATCAAAAATTAGTATAGAAATAGCTGTAATAGTATAAGTATAAGTTTATTTCGACTCCATAATCAGCAATAGACGATAAAAAAAAATAGATAAAAACAAAAGTAAAAGTAACTGATTATAGAATCGGGAAAGCGAACAAAACCTAGAGTAAGGTTTGAAACGTACAGATTTTAGATGGAAAGGTATTGATAAAAGAAGTAGTACGTGTTCGCTCACCCAAAAGTAAAAAAAAACTAATTAAGGCACGCACGCACACACACACACACACAATCATCGAGACATGATACTGTCGGAAGCGAAAAAAGCGAGACTTGAAAGTAAAAAGGAAGGAAAATATACAAACAAATAAAAAAAAATGAATAAATTCTTTTGCCACACCAAATTAATAATTTTATCAGGATTGCCAAATTGGATACCGAATTAGTCAACAAGAGTTAATGTATTGTGGATAGAAAAGTATTCCTCAAAAGATATCGTCAAGCTGATTATAATTGGAGTCACCTAATGCCAAATTGCCCAATCAGAATTGCCAAGTTGGATGTATGAAGAGGTGGGCTAGACCTGCTTCACTCATCAAATAGAAGCCACAACAAGCCAAATAACGTCCAAATTATTTTAAATACTATTAATCAATAACAGTACCGGTAATCATAATTAAAATTAATTAGGGCGGTATGATACAGAGGTAGGAAAATTGGTTAAGGGAATATATATGACTAGGCTAAAATTCATTACCGGTACTTTTATAAAACAAATTGTTGAATGGTATGAATTAGAATAATAGTTTGAAACAAAAAACCCATTTTACAGGCAACAACTCGCGAAACCACTTTTAGAATAAGCACCGAAAATTTTGAAATGGTAAAGTACAGGAAGAATTTTCCGGGGTCAAAGGTCGGGGAAAGATCCATTCAGTGAAGCTGACATCGGTTTCTTGGCTACCAGTACCGGGCGAGTTAGATTTGACAATGAGGCAACATTGGACAAGTTCGGGCTTCTGTAGGGGTAAAAGCCCGCTATTGAATGCAGCTATGAAGTAACATATCAGATTCCTACCCACTACTTAGCAATAAAGGTTCTTCACTGCTAATTCCGTCTGCCGCGACTTGACTGTGCGAATCTGCTTTTGATCTTGTTACCATCAAATCAAAATCTAGAAACACTCCTGATGTTGACAGTGACATTCGTCTGGCTGTATCAAAGACGGTCCCAAGCGCAAGATTCTCATTGATTATACTAGGTTTGCTTCTGCATTCAATAAAAGATCGGAAAAACATAATACAATCCAACACGTTTAATTTTAGAGGGGCTCACGAAAGGTTGGGAACCACTGTCCTAGACTTTGAGGCTTGTACACATCACTGTCAATTCTATTGCACAAATGAAATGATAAAGCCAACTTGGCATAAGTATGATGCTGTCGTTGTCTAAACCTGTCTATGATTTGATGAAGGAGAAAAAAATATGGTTTTCTGAATAAGAAAATGAACTCCGTTTTCAAAAATGTATGTAGCATTGTTTCAGACTTAACTAAATGAATCACCTATAAGTTAAAATATAAAAACGAAAATAAACTCTATTGCAGAATGAAGTTTTTCATAAATCTGGTACAAGTTAAGTAGTTTTTTTGAATGGATTTCATGAAAAATTGTTTAGGTACCAGAAGATGATAGCTCAAGTCTTTTCTTTTATAACAGTAATGCCTGCATCACATCTATGTGTACTCATGTGTGTAACAACTTTCCAGTCATCCTTTTCTGGATCATATTGTTCAATTGAATTCAAAAGGTAATGTCCATCATAGCCAGCTACTGCATGGAGCTTACCTCTGAGCACACATGCATTAACATAACATCGAGGCACTGTCATTTGCTGTACTTCTGTCCAACAGTCTGTATGAACATTATAAGCCTCCACAGTGTCCAAATGAAAGTTTCCATTAAAACCACCCAGTACATATATAACATGATTTAGGTATGCAACACCTGCACCAGAACGTTTTGTATTCATCCGTGAAACCATTATCCATTTACCAACTTTCGGATCATACAACTCAACAGAACTGAGTATATCAACACCATCATATCCGCCTACACAATAGATGCAATCTCTTGCAGTTACCAATCCTGCACCTTCCCTTGCACAAGCCATATCTGGCAGCATTGCCCATTCATCTATACGTGGATCATATCTTTCTGCGCAAGAATGCCGGGAAGAGCCATCAAAACCACCAGCTACATAAATCAAGTTTCCTAAAACTGTAGCACCAGCCAGTCCACGTTTCATGTGCATAGGGGCAACTGAATACCATATTCCATCATCATCAGAAGAGTATTCAAGACATTCGACAGTATTAAGTCGTAAATGTGAATCATATCCTCCAATTACGTAAATCCTATTGTCAATAGTTACTGCAGAAACATATCGCCTACGCTTTGTGAATGAAGCAATTGTACCCCATTCCCCAGTTTTTGGATTGTATTTTTCAACAGTCGGAATCGGTGCTTGTTGACTTCCAAAACCTCCAAGAACGATTAAAACTTCGGAAGTGCCATATCTTGGCTGATTTGCTATACCTTGCATCTCAGCCCGGAGTTCCGGACGCAAATGAAACTTTTTCGCAGCATCAAGTAAATCTCGACATCGCAAGTTGGATTTTATCAATTCCTGTTCATCAAGTACATCTGTTATGAACTGCGCAGACAATAATGGTAATCTTACATATTCGAGCATATTTGATAACTTGGGGCCTCTTTCTTCTCTATTATGTGTTATCCAGTATATTAACGCTTCATATACATCTTCTTCTGAGTCGATTTCAAGTTCTGATGATTCAAGCAATTCAATAACGTCTGATTCATTCAATTCTAAAAATTCTTCATTTTCTATAACTTCCTTAAAATGCTTTAAAGTGAACTCCTCGGCACACTTGGCAAGATCTAAACATTGATGTGTACTCGCGAAAGATTTTATACTCAAACAATTAACAGGATCCAGTTGTGATTTCAAAAATGCGCAACATGCTTGTTCCACACCTTTTAACTGTAAAAGACAAGCTGCAGGAAGGAGGTCTTGAACATTATTTGTTGTGACTTTTACTGATTCAGTGTATACAAAATTCAATAAAATGATAACTGTGTTACTTGACATCCCTTTAATTTCAACAACGGATTGGTCCTTTTCTCTCATCCCAGTTGTAAACATAGCTCGAAAATAAGAAGATGATGCAGCTAGAACAACTCGATGAGCTGGCAGTTCAACATCTTGACACTTTATTGTGACATCACAAAGAACATTTTCAGATCGTAATTCGTTCATGGAATCAAGAATATTGTTGGCATGTCCACTAACCAACACCACCCTTTCAGTTGTATCTGACGCTGGTAAAACATCTTCATTGTCACTGCTGGACATTTTTAGAATTGAAATAATAAATTAATAATATTGCCTGGCAGGATAAAATAAAAAAGTTGTGAAAATTTTGTTACCAAAGATATTTTGAGAAGATTACATTATGCAATCCCTTAAGCAATCAATTAGGTCTTTAAATTCTAACGCACATGATGTTGAATTAAATAAGGATTAAGCAGATGTTGTTGTCAATGTTTAATAACGATAAAATATTGTGAAATCAACTACAACAAATTTCGACTATTTATATGCATGCACTAGAAAACTAATTGTTCGCCATATGGAATTAACACTAGCAACGACAGTATCTTAAATAGAAAAGAAAACTGAAAGAATTGCTGAGGAATCTGATCCAGAGTAGAGCGTTCTGCCAACATGTATTTCAAGTACTAGTAACAAATTATCACGAAAAATCTTGCGGAGACAAAATAATTGTGAAATTGATCTAAACTCAGCATGGTCATTAGATTCGTTGACCAATATTTCTATTGATACCATTCTTCAATGAGAAGCAGCACAAAGAATGCTATTTCCACAGAGTATTACATTTTGGTATGGTACCAAGTATTGACCGACTGAATCCTGGAATCTGTGGGTAAACAACATCAATCATTTCACATCTTTAGTAGCCATTCTAGTAACAACAGCTTCAACAGTTACTTCTTCATTTTGTTCGAGACGATAAATTTTCTTTATTCTCTCTACATCAATAATTTTTTCCAAGTTTTCCAAACCAACAATTTCACCATTTACAGATTCTGTGATTACTTTGGAATTCAAGTCATCCTTCAAAACTACTGCAATTATCTTCTTTGTCATTTCATTGATACCAAATGTCTTCAAACTTTCATTAATTTTATTTGTGGGTGATAAATTAAACAATATTTCCGAATATAGAGACTTTGTTTTCATACGTCCTAATTTCTGATAATACAACGCTTTATTGACTGCTGTCAATATATGAAATGAATCTAATATCAAAGAACCATCAATTAAACATCCTTGTAAAATTCCTTCAGTTGTTAATTCTTTTAGTTCCTTTGCGTTTGTGACATTTCGAAACAGTGAAATTTGAACACTTTGGTCAGGAAATAATGGCTTAAGATTAAAAGTCTGCATTTCACTGTGATTCGGAAATTACAAGTTAACAATCAAATATTCAAAAAACTGAAATGTTATATCTGAATATGGTCAGATAGTCAAAACACTAAAATCTTGAAATCTATATATTTACTGTAAGAAAATTTCACAAAGGATAAAATGCCTCCTCCAGTCCTTCCGGTACCTAAGGTGTTAGCAATTTTTATGTGCTACTAGACACACAGACACAGAAACTCCAATGAAAACAGTAGGCCACCAAGGGAAGCGGACAACTCGACTACACGGACAACTCACCAGAGACAACTCGACTACAGATGGGTCTGGTGGGTTGTCCGTAGGGTTAGTTCGGATACCAATAATTTATACTATCCGGATAACGGATATATCCGGGTATTTCCTTATTTTAACTATCCGGTTCACCGGATAGTTGCTGCTAATTTCAGAGAACCGATCTCACAAGATTTTTTGCGGCGAATTGACTAAAAACCACCACACAGTTCTATTGTAAATACGTACATATGTATTATTTAGCTCGAATAAAAATGATTTTGCATTTTGATGTTGCATGTGTCAATAAATAAAAATTTAAGCTCTGTAATTGTACAGAAGTACAGCTGAATAATATAATGACATTTTTTTTAAGTACTGTGTCCTAATTGTCTTTCCCTCGACTGCTAAGTTATTTTCTCATATTCAAATCCTATGTAAAGATTTATATTATTTCTACTTTATTGTTAAATTTTTTCAAAAGTTTCTTTTTGTGTCTAGAGCATATTTTCTTTAAATTTTGACTCGTACTAAATTTTGGTGTCTCAGACTCACGGTGACCATTTCTTTAAGCTTTTAAGTTCAATTAGTTTAGAATAGATTTATTTCGGCTGGTATATCTATTGATTCGATTGATACATGGAAATTTGAAAAAACATATATACCAAAGTTAAAAGCAAGCACATAACTTTGGGTCGTGTACTCAAAATTTTGAAATGCTACACAGATTACATGGAATCGGAAGTGTTGTGAAATAAGTCCTCAAAATTCAAACTGGTTTACATCATGATGAAATGCGTTCCTTCAATACACGCCAACAACTAAAAGCCACACCCGACGAAAAAGCAACAAACTCACACCCACCCAACCAATGCTTTTCAACTGAATTCGTTTAAGTTAGTCTTGCTTAAACTGTACCTCCAGTTCGAATCTAACTTTATAAAGCAAATGAGCTCTTTTAATAAGCGCAATATTCACATTTGTTCTGCGTGTTTCGTGATGTAATAGTGAAGTTCACTCCAGCATTCTACGGATGGCTAAAATATAGGCAGATTAGAGTGGGGAAAGTTGTTATTATATGCTCTGGGAGATGTCAGTCGCCACTCAACAAAAAATATAAAAATCGCTAATGCGCATATGCATTATTAATACTGCTCCATTATCCGGTTAACCGTCACAATAATATCCGGATATCAGATAACAAAAATAACTCTTAGTTAACCGGTTATCCGGTTAACCGCTATCCGGATAATCCAACCCTAGTTGTCCGTCTTTCCGCCTTTTCTGCGGCGACGTTTTAAGCCTATAACAATGTAATTTCGATATTTTTAGGGCTCCAATGTTGAGAAAAATACAAGAAATAATTTTTATGTGTATAAATGATTTTGCTCAGGTTATATGAATACAGATACAGTCTACAGACGAAACTGGAGTACGGTGTCATTTTTTTGTGCATTTGATGTTTTTGTGACGACGAATAAATGATTGATTGATTGGTAACGGTACCAATAGCAAAGTTATACTGTTGACTTATAGGGCTGTGTGCGTTTTAATTTTTGAAAGTTATTGATATTGAATGTTTTGAGTACGTACTTTTGAATATATTAAAACCTTCATACGTAGCAGGAAACAGTAACACATATATATTCATGAATGTGAGTTTCGTAGTCTATGATCACTTTAGTTTAGTGGTCACCCGTAGTCTAAACTCGACCGTATACCGGTATGGTCGTATCGTTATCAACCAGTCACATACCGAAAACTGCATAATGTGTTGTTTTATTATTATTTGTTGTTGTATCATCATGTTTCCTAGTTTGACGAAAAAAAAAATATTTTCTCTCTCTCGCAGTCGCTCGACTGATTCAACAGTTGAGCAATCGCTCTGCGAAGTTATGCTGTCGATGCTCGAGAGGAAGACAACTCGACTACAGAGAGTTATCTGTGGATTCCCTTCTTCGTAGGGCTTTTAAAACGTAGCCGTAGAAAATGCGAAAAGACCTTTGGACCTTTCCACGACCTTTGACCTTTATTGTTATGATTTTGGTCGCTCAGACAAACAATGCAAATATTCAGGCTTGTGTAGGGCGATAGAGTGGTACGTTGCTCGTTTTAAAGGCCTTCGAATGGCATTTCACTGGTGATAGCGGTATTTTCGTGCTTCTAAAGTTATAACATATTGTCAAGTGATCTATTATTAACGTTATTCCGCCTTCACATTGCTGTTAACGTACCTAACTTAGTTCTAAAAGCTCATTTAACATACAAAAATGGAATCATTCAGAGATGACTTTTCTATGACTTGGTTTTCCAAGAACTTTTCTTTCCCCCAGCAAGAGAAGGATACAAAACTTTTCATTGAAAGGTGATATTTAAACTTATATGGTTGAAGAATCTCAGAGGGTGGTGATGGAACTGGGAGACCTGCGTGACTACCGGTACGGTACCGGTACCATATCCCATACCTAGTTCATAGACTGATAGATAGCGTCCAAGTTAGGGCTGAATTGGTGGGTTTAGTATAGCAGCAAATGAAATGCAGGGGCAGTTTAAAAAGTCTTTTAGATACATTCTTGGAAACATTGCACAAACTACAGAAATCTGTAATTCTGAACAGGTGAATATTTTTTTCAGATACCGGTACATTCATGATGTTTCAGTCGTCCATCTTGGTTCAACGCTAGATTTCAAAGCCAAGTGCGTTAGATAAGTTCAGGAGTCTCTGCCACCACATCATCCTCGAATAGTGGTGTCGCTGAATAGTCACCAAGTCTCTGATGCAATTTGTACATGCTAGGCCTAAGCACAGTGAAGGCACTTGAGTTTATGTCGTATCATAGAAACACAGATTTATTAGCTCAGTAAGATGGGTGCAAATATACTATTGAAAGATTAGATTCAACAGGTTTATTGAGGTATTATGATCGATTACATACCACATAAAATTACAAGACCAATAATGTTATAGTGATAACCATGGTTTAAATGGACTAACCAAGACTATCCAACAGATGAAATTGAGAGGATTAAAAGATTTTCCGCTGAGCCAAGCATGTACAAGCCTTCCCCAGCATTGGTAACAACCTATATGGAGGGAACAAAATAGATCCAACAGTTGTCGTTTGTAGTTGGTGCTAATCCCACAAAGTTAGATCAAGCCAGAGTTCCAATCATACCGGTTCAACCAAAACAGTCGGGTATTTGCTAGGTTTTACAATATAGTTTATTCATTCAGTGTAGAAATAGAATATAACAGATTATAAAAAATATATGATGAAGGAACAAGCAAGTAAATCCAAGAAAATTACTACAAATTATACAGTTTTGCAGGTATTGTGTTGTATAGGATAAAAATACACGCTAGATATATGCTTTTGGGCACAACAAACAAAAAACATGAAAGCAATGGAGCGTCTGAGTTATTTTATTAAAGCTGCCTGGTTTCATCCCCTGATAATAAATATGGAAGAATTGCTCTCACTGGGCACTACCTCATTGTTATATAGTCAGCCCATAGTCAGATGGCCAAACACCCACCACTTGGTTCGGTTCTAAGATTTACCAGGTGATTATGAACAAGTTGTGATTTATATGACAGTGATAAATGCTAAACAACCTAACAAAATAAGGATATTTATCACACACTACAAATACTACCAAGTGCATGGCCAACTTCTGGTATCAGGAGCAGCTTGGTGTGACTTTGCAGTTGTAGTTCCGATTCTGAATCTTGTTAATTCTTTCGTGCCCTTTTATTAATATTATTTCTTTTTCTGGTAGGTAGTCGCGTACTTTTTGAAATCTATTTTAAGTTATGCTCGACTTCCACTTTTCTCTGCATTTTGTTTGACTTTTTGTGTTGTTTTATGCCAGAGAACTAAAATAAAATGATGATGACGCTTGCCTACATTTTTCTGCTGTCTGACAAAGCGCTGTCTTTTTCGTCAGCGGCACTTGAGGTAGTTTCAACTAAAGAGTCTGGGGGCAGATCTGGTTGGATCCCTGACAATCCTTTCTCACTTTCGTCAGATTCACATGTCTCTGTATCAAATGAAGTATCTGGTGACAGATCCTGTGAAATTATGATCCAAAGTTAAATTATGGTATAAGTAATCCTTATCTCACAATTCGATGGTGCTTTTATGTTGGGCGACAAGAATCTGATATAGGGGCAGGGTATTCATCAGTTGGTCCATCGCCTCCATGAAAATGCATGATGGAACGCATTGCTTGTATGAAAATTTATTTCATATAAGAATTAACATATTGAATATATCATAGGTATCGAAAACAATATTTAAGTTGGCCTACCTTGGTACACACGAAGGTATTTCTGGTGATTTTTCCTAGATTGAATATACTGCGAGGCCTGTTGCATTCCTTTATCCACCTCATTTCTTTTTGGCAGTCAATATGTGGCTTCGGAAAAGTCACAAATCCTACTCCATTTGAACAGCAGGTGTACCGTACAGGTTGTCAGACCGGCAAATATCATATGCACAGCGTTTACACATAGTTAGTCTGCCAAAATAATTCACTAATAGATTCTGTTTAATAAAAATGCAACATCGTATCGAAAACAAATTCTTTTTTTTCTAACATACGGTAGGCTACCGGTACCCTTGATTGCATCAGCATGATTGTCTACTATTTTTTGGTTCGAAATAGCAGTACCGTAACCTGTAAGGTGCCTGCAACGGGTACAGCCCTTTAGTATAGTATAGATATATAGATTTCGTGAACGTGATTTGCAACAAGTAACATACAGTATTACAGCTTTCTAATTCTCGCAGCCCTGTGAAGAAAAAAAAGCGAAAAAAAAGGACAAATATCTGCCTAAACCGCCAGCAACCTGTGCGGAACGCGTCCAAAGTTGTCTGAGCGACTTTTCAGCGGAGAATGTTTGTTTACATCTGCTCGATTGTGATTGGTTGAAAATACGGATGTTTCCATGTCGG